CTATACGTGCACGTGGTGGACAGAGATGAGCGAGCGAAGAGGGACAGAGAAGGAAGGAGAGCGAGTGCACGTAGAGCCTGGCTTGAAAAAGAAGGGAGGAGGAGGAGAAGAAATGCCTGGAAGAAGAAATGGTGGAAGGGTGAAAGGAGGAATATATATATATATAGAGAGAGAGAGAGAAAGGGGTTGGGGAATCGAAGGTAGAGAGAGGAAAAAGCAAAAAGGAAGAAGGAACGTGAAGCTTGTGAACGAAGATGGAGAACGAAGGAGACGATATAAAAGATAGAAGGAGAGAAAGAGAAAAGGTAACATGAGCGATGCGCTATCGCGAAACCCTGCCAGCGAACGCGGCACGACGCCGGGGTCGGCGCTATCGATTGGCGTCGGCGTTTCCTCGACGTCGCTATTTGCCCGCCGCCGACGTCTCCTTTCTCTCTCACCCTCTCTCTCTCTCTCTCTCTCTCTCTCACCGATGCAACTCTCTCTCTCTCTTTCGCCACCCTCTTCCATTTATACCCGTCTTCTTTCCTCGCACGTTCTCACCTCCGTTTCGTTCATCCTGTTTCGCCACCACAGCTCGACCCTCCTCCCACAGCTCTTCGCGTTGCTTCCCTCGTTGCTCTCTGTACCAGCACCACCGAAGCTACACAGAGAAATACAGCGAGAGAGAGAGAGAGAGGAGACACAGCGGTCGTAGTGGTGGTAGGTGGAAGGGGTTTCGACTCCTTTCCATCCGGCGCGGTAACAGGTGTTGCTCCGGCCCCGAACTCGTACAAAATCGATGGGCAAGAGCCACATCGGCGTCGCGGCGAGGGGTGGGTTTCCCCTAGCCTGTGGGGGGTTCGCCCTCTTGCTCAGCTTCCTCGTTCCTCTGCTCGTTCCAACCCCTCGATCCTACCTAGCCAGACCTTTCTACGTATTACACACACGCGCACATCCTACACACCCTTACGCGGTGGTTCTGGTAATAGAAGGGGCTCGTTGGAGGTGGAACGGAGCAAAAGCGAAACGGAGAGACGACGATAGAGGAAGATAGGCGCCTACGAGAGGGGTGAACAAAGTGAGACAGATAGATAGCGATGTATTATAAGATAGAGGAAGAGAGACGGAGGCAGAGAGAAGTGGCGAAACCGGGTGTAGGAGGGAGCGAGAGAGGGTGGAAGAGAGGGTGAAACACACTAGAGCGCCAGGCCAGGGAGGGAAACGGGAGAAGGAGCTGCACGAAACGAGGAGGAAAGGACGCAGGCGCCCAGGACGCGGGGCGACGCTGCTCGACGACGCTGCATTGGCAGTTGCACCCCAGCCACACCCGGTACGAGCCATGTAGTCGGGCTACCCTCCACCGCGATACACGGCGGACAATTGTTGCTTCTGCGCCCACAGGTGGTACATCTTCATCTTCGATCTTCGTGCCCGTAGACGGCGTCCGGTGTGCCTCGTCGTCCTCCAGCAAACGGGACCTCCCCCCCGTCCACGTAGAGCTTACCGTCGTCGCCGAATAGGAACGCGCGCGTCCACTGCTCCTCGTAACCTGGTGCTCGGCTGCTCGTCCACGTCGTGCATATATATACACACACTCGCACACACGTACATATATATATATACATATGTACATACGTAGAGAGAGCGGTGTGTTACTTGCGTGTTACCGCTACCACCGCTGTTATTGGGGTAGAACCCCCTTCGTCGTCGTTCCGTTCTGCTCTTCGTCGTCATCGTCGTCGTCGTCGTCGTTGGTGTGTGTGGTTTCGCTGTACTCGTGCGTCTAGTGTCTCGGCGAGTTTTTCTCGCGAATGTTGGACTCGTGGATCGTTACGAATTGTTGTTTATTACCGGAAGAAGGAAGAAGAGGAGACATGTGGCTCTGTTCAGTCGGAATATTGTGAATTTGTGAACGAAGCAAGAGGAAGTGTATTCGGAAGTGTAGCTTTACTAATTGTTTAAGGAACAAGGTGGGAAAGAATGTCTGGAATATTCTGAAGACGGGAGAAACAGTGGGAGGAAGATTGGTTGAAAGTTGGGAAAAAGAGACGAAACAGAAGTAAGGTTAAAAGTATCCACCTAATCAGATCGAAACTCTAACTCAACCCGAAGAATCTTACCTCGACGCGAACATTCAGCAGGGTGGTCTGTCGTGGGAGGAAAATGGAAAGAAAGTAGGAAATACCGTGGAAGAGTAACGCATACGTGGCTGTTGGAGAGAACCAAGGCTGCTACGAGGCCCGCGAACAGCCGCACGAGGGCAGGGTTGTAGCTCTCACGCGGTGCTTCCCCGGTGGAAAACGAGAGAGAGCCAGTCGGAGTGTAAGCCGAGCATAGGAAGTCGAGGAAAGTCGCGTTTAGGGTTGCTGTTTCTGTTCCTCGCCGAAGGGAAGACGTTGGCGAACGACGAGGGCTCGCTCGACGAACACAGAACACAGAGTGAAAGAGAGAGGGGGGGGGGGGGCCACTTACCAGAGGGAGTTATCGACTACACACGTAAGGCGACAGCGCACACGTACGGATACACAAACATCGCGGACCTGTTGTCCAACTTGTTGCTCGTCCCTGCAAAAGGCACACCTCGCCTGCCACCGCCACGCACACGCCTGCTTTTCGAAAAAGGACTTGCAGAGAGACTGGCAGCCGTGAGCAACTGAGAATTCAACGCTGAAGAGATCGAATTTGTCCCGTCTCTGGTGAAAGTTGGAACACCTACGCCACACCGGTTCGAGAAATTGTCGAAAACAAGTCTCGCCGAAAAGTTTCTCTCGCGTTATCGAACAGAGGACAGTGGAAATTTAGAAGATTTTTTTCCTTCGGTTAATCGATAACATCGATAACGAGCTAGAGAGTGTAAGAGGTTCGTTTACAGTTGATCATCGCCGTTGATAAGAAGTTTGGGAACTGTGAGAAGTTTCTTTCAGTTACGATTAATTCGTGGAAGATTTGAAGATTTTTGGTCCTTTGCAACAGAGAGGAGAGTAGGTTGATCGAATGCTCCCTGTGATCACTTTTTTACCATTGAATCGGCGTGTTTCCGCGAGGAGAGAGGAATAGGAAGAGGAGGGATCTCCGGCGGAGGAAAGTGTAAGATTGGAGGTTCTCCGGTTCGTGCGGTGAAAATTGGCGTGTTTTATCGGTGGAGAAGGAGGTTCGATTGGAGGGAGGGCAGTTTGTGGAGGAGCGGGCAGGTGACAACGCAAGCAGGCGGCGTGATAACCGCTATTTGCTGGAATTGCCCCGCGACTCGAGCTAGACGGAGAGATGAGGGTATCGTCGCGAGAATGGACACGCCCGACCAGCACGATACTGCACGAGAGTGTTGCTGGGAGAGTGGAACGTTGCTCGGAGCAGCCGGGCGAGTAGAGACCTTTACACACACTCTGATCTCTCGTGAACGAAACGGAACAAGCTTGAACGTTAACGAGCACACGATGTACATAATTATAGACTTGTAATAATTGTGAAAGCTAGGGGAGAGTTTTAAATCGAAGCCTGTGAGCGAGCAACAAAGAGAGAGAGAGAGAGAGGGGGGAATAAATAGGAAATTAATAAAGATTGTTAGGATTTTTACGAAGGTATGATCGCCGAGAGGAGGTTAGACGGATGTAAACGAACAGGAAACGGCAAACAGGGCAGAAGTCGAAGAGGATCGTAAGAGAGAGAAGAAAGAGGAACACGTAGGAGAATAATCTTCCACCCGTGAATACAACGAAAGCAATACTACAAACAAGGTATAAAAAAGGAGAATTAAAAGAAGAAACAAAAAGCGAGGAAAATAAAAAACAAAAAAAAAAAACAGAAAAAGAAGCAAGGGAGAGCTGCAATTTTTATCTTCACGTCGTAGAAACTCGAGTGGTCACCGATACGAGAGAAATCTCGCAATGGAACCTTGAAACGTTACACATATACATAGACACATACATACACCTGTACGAAGAAAGTTTTCGTGAAGAAGAAAAGTTTCGAAGAATACAAGAAAAGAAAGAAGAGACACACACTGACTGACTCGCTTCGCCGAAAAGATATTTTAATATAAATCTATACACGTATCTATATGTATGTACACACACACGCGCATATATATACACGTATATATATATAAGGATACACGTGTAACTTGATTCCGAAATCGTGCAACGACATCTAGAATTAAAAATTACCACCGCCATCCACCCAAAATTGCTGTGGTTGCGTGTGTGTGTGTGTGTGTGTGTGACAGCCGCCGCAGAATCGAGCGTGTTTCCAGCAAAACACACGTAGAAGCAGCTCGTGTCCATTCCCGACGTCGAGATCGATATATCGATGGAAGCCTGGAACCGCTCGGAGTTCAGCTAATTCCTCTCGAGACGTCCGTAAGGCCACTTGGAACACGTTCGATCGAACGGGAACACCGCGAACAGAGGTCGAGGAATTTGGTTAACGAGCACGGAGAAGGTGGAGGAGGAGACTCGGGACAACAGTGAGAAGGTGGGTTTTCGTTGGGATAGGATGCAGCAACGATTGGCGAAGGAAGAGGAACGGTTGATCGACGAGGAGGAGGGATATTGATCGGACGAATCGACCATCGATCCTGGTGGCCTCCGCGGAGACCACCAGGACGCCATTTTGGTCCCGTGAAAAGAAGATAAAGGAACTTTGAAACTCTGCTTTTCTTCGCAGTCGAAGAGACAATAATAGATAAATTCGAGGAGGAGACAGAAGGATTGGAGTTTGTTTTTCTTCGAAGGCCAGAATTTCTGGCTGGAGGACACTTGATGAACAGCCCGATGGTGATTTGTGCGAGGTACGACGAGGAAGATCGAAGAGGAATCGTAAGTTTCGAGGTGGAGATTCTCTGATTGACTCGTTTTTCGAAACGAAGGAGGAGGAAGAGGAGATCGTAAGTTTCGAGGTGGAGATTCTCTGATTGACTCGTTTTTCGAAACGAAGGAGGAGGAAGAAGAGGAAGAGGAGGAAGAAGAAGAAGAAGAAGAAGAAGAAGAAGAAGAAGAAGGGAAGAAGGACACACAGTCAAGATGCCGCGTTGTTACATGGTGAAGAAGGCCCTGTGCAACAAGTATATAAGCAACGTTGCCAGAGGATTCGAGAGCTGGGGTCGTGGAAGAAGCACGCCATCGCCGACCACCATGCAGATCCCTGTCTCGCCTATCGAAGGGAGCGTCGCACCCCCTGTTGCTCAAGGTACGATCCT